GGTTCACCCCGACCCGCGCGGGGTCGGGCAACGCGAGGGGAAAGGCCGGCGGCCCCCCGGCCGTTTCACCCAAGGGGGCGTGGGGGTCCCGCAGGAGCCCGGCCTCGCGCAGGGCGGCCTCGACCGCGGCCGCGCAGAAGCGATGCGAGCGAGGCTGATGCGCGGTGGGCGCGAAGCGGTCGGGGGCGCCCGCCCCCTCCTCCTTCACCACCCCGGCGACGCGGCTGGGCAACCCCGCGAGGATCTCCCGCAGTCGGCGTTGCTTCTCCGCGTCGGAAAGGGTCCGATCGCGCTCGAGGTGATCGGGGAGGAAAAACGGCGCCTCCGCGAGCGCGGTGACGCCGCGTTCGCCTCTGCAGAGGCCTCGCCAGGTCCTCGCGGTGTCGAGGCCGAGGGGGGTGACGAGGCCGATCCCGGTGACCACCACCCGCCGACGAATCGTCGGTGGGAAATCCCCGAACGGCATGGACCAACCCGAACAACCCACGCGGGAATGAAACCAAAAGGGAGAAACGGCCCTGATGACTATCCAACAACCGAGTTGAAGCACACTGAAAACGAAGGAGAGGAAGAAAATCATATTAATATGAATAATAATAATAATAAAATGAAATAAAATAAATAGAAACCACGAACGCCATGCGTAGCGCCAACCCTCCCAGGGGAAGTTTCAGACGCCCTATCGTTACGCCGGTAAAGGACCGTAACGTGAACGAACGGGTAAAGGTATTCAACCCCAAAGAAGAAAATTTCACCCAGTAGTCCGAAGGGGGAGGGGTGATAACAACAACCAACCAAACAAAAACCAACACTCGCTATAAGGCGAAACCTCAACATTCCTACCGCCGCCTAGAGTACACCCGACTGGAGGTCGATTGCGTCGCGTAGGTTCCGTTCGAAATAGGCAAGGAGCCTTCGTAGTTGCGGAGCCCTGGCAGTTTATGCCCGCTCACGATCTGGAGCTGCTCCCACAGCCCATCAACGCTCGCCGCGCCTTTTTCGCGCGACGCCATCCCGCGTTGCCGGGTTCCCCTCCCTTCCAACACCTGCCGTTGCAGCGCGAGAATCCCCTCCCCTCGCCGCAACGCCGCGATGATCATCCGATGCCCGCGAAGATGGCGCCGGCTGGAGAATTCGTTGCGAAGACGAAAGAGCAAATCCTGCCGCTCCTCGGGCGCGTGGTGGTGGTAGATAAGCTGGAGGAAGTGGCGATAAAGATACAGCACGTCGCGCGCGCGATAGGGGTAGTTAAAAAAGGTCGGCACCTCCGCCCCGAGCACCTGCGAGCCGACGGGGCCGCGGTTCAGCAGACGCCGCGTGCAGCCAAACATCCCGCTCCTAGAAGCCCCTCCAGTCGCGGAGCACACACTCATACGGCGACGAGGATGGAAGTGATGCACGAGACGAATCCGAAAGGAAAAAAAGAGTAAAACTTCACAACGCAGGAACGAACTTCCAAACGCGTGGAACACCTTGTTACTATCTCGAAATCGGCCCCAAATTGTCAAGGCGCATTCACTTTTCTACGAGAAAAAAAGCACGTTAGGAAAATAGGAAACTCTCTTTTGGAAATAAACATCCCGTCGTCGGATCACTTCTCTCTCTTTCTTTAATCTCCCTTGAGTAGTCCATCAGCAGCAGTAAATTGGTATACCTTTCTGTTTTCTATTGTGCTTGTATACAACATAACACAACACAAAGTCAGATCTATGAATCAATGTAAGATTTCGCTTATGTAAATCTAATTCTTCCCAAGATTACCTTACTTGGCATCCACACACAGATACGATCACTAGGAAGCATCTACCAAACGTAAGCGAGAGATGAAATTCAAACTTTGGATTATCCACACGCACCATCATATTCCAAGAATGTGATTAAAGCAGTGGGAGTGATTTGATGCCCTGATGAGCCCCCACCTCTTTTGCAGTTTTTTTCTTTTCGTGTTTAGGGGGGGGGGGGGAGGAGTCAGTCCATAGTGTCGAAGGACCAATCAAAGGGTAGGGTGACTGCAGTACGCACTCAACGTAAAAGCAAATGCGAAAAAGTCATCTCCGGGGTGAAAAGACAACCATAAGAGGCAATTGGATCTAATCACGAAACAATCTCTCAAAAACGGGCAAAGGAAATTCAAATGAGAGAAGTTACGTAACGACCCCAATAGCGCCTAAAGGCCCTTGAAAGGTTAATAACACGAGGGATGAATCTAGGTACTTCATCAACACACGCCTTGTGTGGACTCCCCCCCTATCCCCCCCTCCCCATACAATGCGCACGCGGAGCCTACATAAACTGAATCAAATCCTCATCCCCGCCCGCCGTTTCGTAGACGAACACATCCCCTTGAAGCTTCGTCAAGGTCCGCTGGAGGTCCTCGAGAGGGTCGAGGCCGCCGAGCCGCTCGCGCAACTCCCGCAGCCGCAGCGAGCCGCGTTGCTCGCGTTG